CAACCAGCGTCGCCATACCAACGATGTTAGATGTTGCACTTTCCTCCACCGTTGCTGTGGATGAAATCCAGTCGTTTCTTCAGCTTCAGGGGCAAACTGACCACCCATCTGGCCATAAAGGAGATGATTTGGAGTCAGCAGGATTAAGTCACGAACATCGGCAGACTGATACGTTAACGGTCTGGAATTTATAAGACTCTCAACTCCGGTAAAAATGGTGATCAATTCCTCAACATTGACATCACTGTTTCTTAGTACTGCGTATATCGCTTTCTTTGCAGCCTTTACCATTATTTCGTGAGCTCCCCAGATATGCGGGGCGGCAGGCAGGTTGAACAACCATCGAACTCTCTTATCCGTTTGATTTTCTCTTTGTCTAACTGACCAGCAAGCTCCTTCAGTTCGTTTACCGCTCCAGTGAAGTTAGTACCATTGTCACTTACAACCTACTTGGGTATTCCTCTCCTTCCAGTTAATCGAACGAATGCATTAAGGAAAGCATCTGTGTTCAATCACCATGCCATCTCCAGGTGTACAGCTCTGACTGATAGACATGTGAACACGCATAGATACCGCTTGTGTCTCTTTCGACCACGATCCTGAATGGTGATAAACGGACAACCAAAATCTACTGTCCATTTATCAAACGCCCGATAGGTAAATCGCAATCTCACACCTGGAAGCGGGGCCATCACTTGGCTGGCTGACTTGTTCCGTCTCCTTCTGCAACCGTAGCACTGGTTTTCCCAATCTTGAATTTCCTCACGTGCCGCAATGATCCAAAATCTTTCACTCAGTTGACTGAGAATGAAATTTACCCCAGCTGCATGGTTCGCTTTCTCGTGGTAATGTTTTACTATCAATCTTGTAACCCAATGTCCTCGTGGCAGGATAACTGGACTTCGCACGTCATACGGTAGTTGCTCTGCGAAACTGAGACGCCCTTGTGATCGAATAACTTCATCTGCGTCAATTATGAGATTCAATTTAACCATGTAGCTGACTCTTTGCAGAAACAGGTCTTCCTTTCTTGATTTCACTGTACTCGGCAACAAAAATCTTCACTCTGAGCGGCACGAATGACTTCCATTTCAGCTTCCCTGAGCTCTTCTGAAGTCAGTTCCTTTTGAGTTCGTCTTTAGCCCTGATGACGCATGTTGAACAGCGCTCTTCGAACTCTGGCTGTTCATCGTTTACTTGAAGGAAGAGACGTTTTTGCCGTTATGCCAACGGGGATTGCTTGTCGTGACTCGTGAAGTGTTGGAATAGCAACATTACCACTGGGGTAAACTATATAGTAACCTTTACTTGAGTTATATGTCCCTCAAGAAAATTATCTTTTGGTTGATGTTGACTCTGTTCTTGCACTGAAGAAAACAGCGTTTTTCGCGGTGAAGATTTAGAGGCAGTTGCATGTAAGCATATTCGAAAAAATTTGCGATTTCCAGGGCTTTTCGCTCTCTCGCTGAGAGAGCAAAACAGAAGACGGTAATTGACTTTTGAAACGAAACGATCTGGACTCTTAACGCTCTCTTCTTTTGTCGAGTTCTCCAAACAACATAACTGAAATAAATTTCGTACTTTCCGCCGCCAACAAGAATTGCACACATGATCTGATATGTGAGACAATTTATTTATAACAATGGCTACAGCGAAGCACGCATTAATGCTAATGTGGTCGCATTACTTCCCTCACGATTTGAAGTTTGAGACTCGTTTTCTGTTGAAATTCGCCCTAATTTGCCTGTTCCGATTTTAGTTGAAATTGAGCCCTTGCAAATTTGGCAATTACTGACTGCGTTGCTTGCGTTTTTGGAGTTACACATTGTTCCTATTCTGAATAAGCAGAGAAAACCACGCAAAATTTTAATGCGAGTTTGTTTTTTAATATTTGGGTTGCTGTCATTGGCTCTTTTTTCACAATTGACGCGCGAATGGGGCGTGTTATGAAAAGGAGCGTTTTACAAATACCTGGTATTACTTACAGGCCCATTATTCTTCCCTCTGTGGTCCTGCACGCGGCTAGCCCATAATGCCGTAATGGCCTCACTGATGATTAATTAAAGGAATACCGAATGGTTTTCCGTACAGGATTGCGTGATCCACGCACGAAGGATGTCGCGAGACTTTCGGAAAGCGTAAAAATTCTCGAGCCGCAGGCGATTGTATTTTTACGTCTTCCGAAAGTAGAGCAACATACAGGTAAATGGCTTAACTGATGGCCCAACGGGATAGTCTATAACAAATAAGGCATCAACTTTCGAAATTATAAACACGAAAAGAAAAGACAAGAAACAATAAAAGCCCATATACTGTAGTAAGACACATTTGTCAACATTGGAATAGTGTGAGCCCTACGTTTTAGGCATCATCTCTGATCTCAAAACTGGGTATAGCATGCAAGCTTTTGAATTCAAGACATTAATGTTGAAGCAAGACTATATATCATGAAGCGATATTTTAAATTTTCTGATTCTTCACGAATCAAATGGTGACGTGCCAGCCTTTGTGGCCGGACGAATAAGGCGTTGGCTTTCTAAGCCGAAGATTACGGGTTCGAGTCCCGTCGGAGGTAAATCTATTGTGAAAAAGATTTCAATTAAAAAAAAATTAAAGGCAAAAAAAGGCATCCGATGAAATCCGCGAAGAGTGAGTGACAATGAGAAGTGAAAATATATTTGACAATGGGCCGCCTTTCAAATGGTGCGAGCCTTACCTTTTTGACTGGCAGCCCATGATAATGCATTGAATTAAAATCAGGAGATCTATATCTAACTCGTCAATGTAAGCCTTCGTGGCCTAATGGATAAGGCGTCGGCCTCCTAAGCCGAAGATTGCGGGTTCGAGTCACGTCGGAGGTAAGTTAACGACACATATTAAGTAGATTTGACAATGGCAAAATGTAGATTCGACAATACAATTTATTAGTAGCGTTGACCAACAAATTTAAATGGCTGCGATTATTTAACAATTATTCGCCGAAGGCGAGGTGATTATCGGTGAATAAAAACCGAGACGAAGTCGAGGTTTTTATTCATGATAATCACCGAGCCTGAGGTGAATAATTGTTTTAGTATAATTTCATAGGTGATTATATGGAAAAAAATAAAAAAATACACATTTCTTCGTCATTTAATTGACAAAAAGGCTTCGGCCGCCATTTTGAAAATCGCTTAGGTGATTATCGCGTAATAATCACCTCAACGGCAACCAATCAGCGTGGAGAATTTTCAATAATCACCTATGTAATTATACTAATATGGATTAAAAATAGTCGGAAGAAAGAAGACAAAATTTCATAGATAGTTAATTAGATTGAAGTAAATTCAATTTAATGTGAGTTTGGAGGTCAATACAATATTTCCACGTACATCTGATTGCCAATAAAAAATTCGTAGAATGTTTTATCATTGTACAATCCTTATCAGTTATTAGGGATTATGGCACACGTCATTAGTACTATGAAGTTTTCAATGTAATAAGATATACTAGATAGCGCATCTCTTTTAGTAAAATTGAAGCCAAGAATAATCCAGCGGTTACTCCCATTTGAATAGATGGCGGCCATGTTGAAGTTTCCCACTGGCTAATAAACGCTTAAAAACAACAATAACTTTCATCATTTGAATAGTTTGAAAATGTGATTGGAATAGGTTTAACTTAATATTTAAGTTCCCTGTTTAAGAAATGGAAAACATAAGAGTCTTCTCATTTTATGAGAATATCCTGAGTCTGCAATCACGGCTTCAATTTTTAAATTGCAGAATAATTAGATGCACTATCTTGTGTATATAAAATATCTATGGTAATAAGCTTTTTTCAGCGCAAACCTTCGTGGCCTAACGGATAAGGCGTCGGCTTTTTAAGCCGAAGATTGCGTGTTCGAATCTCATCGGAGATAAATTCCATTGTATGTAATGTCACGTATATAGATTTGACAATGGTCTAACCTTTTGAACTGGGTGCTAAGGATTCAAATTATATAATGACACTTTCTAAGCCGAAAACTCGGAAAGAGGAAATAAAACTGAAGCGAAACCCATGAAGAACAAAAAATCGCAAGAGCGGCAGTTCGATGCTTGTCGGAGGCTAATTTCACGTAATGACAAAGATAGGAAAATATATTTGACAAATGAGCAACGTTTTAATTAAATAGTGTGAGTCTTATCATTTCATTGATGGCTTCTAATTATAATGCGCCGTTAGGGCCTGTTCCCACTTAGGTTCGTTTTTGGGAGTGTTTACACTTGGACAACTTGGTGGTTAGCAAAAGGGTTAAAGTTGAGGAGCATATACGGTCGAAAGGATTGGGTGTAGGATAGAGTTCTTTCATGAAACAAGCATGGCGGATATTTCTGCAAGCGCGATTTTAACACGACAGTACTTAGAAAAGACAAAAACACGTGCCGAAACATCAAAAAGGACACCAGACAATGTAGTTAAGATATCTTCACAATACAACAAACGTAATACTACCATGCTTAACTATTTGAATACCTGTGCAGTAGAAAGACAATTTTGGGTCCAACCAACCAGATGACAGTCGCGGTATAGGTTATCGATAAATACCTCCGCATGACGAAAAGCTGTCCCCAACTTTAAAAAAGCCGAGTATCAGATTTAGAATGTCAATTCCTGTTCGACGTGTGGCCATTTGCCTGTGGCTACTGGCAACAGATAGTCTACTCATTATGTTGGAGATTTGATGTGGCAAAGAGCACCACAGCATGTGAAATTGTAAACGAAGTTGGCCAGAATATGCCTTGACCACCTTGGTTGGTTCAGCTCGCTTGGTTTTGTGCGTTCATGATATTATAATGCGGACTAAACTAATCCGAACCGAGACCACCTCTGGAAGTAGTCTACTTTAGCTCGAGTCGAGATCGATCTTGGCTCGCAAGCGACCAATCACACTTGCTTCTTATGGACTCGAATCGATTTCGGATGGAATTAAAAACGCTAGGGTGAACGGGTTCTAAATCAGGAGATCTATCAGAACTATCAACGTAAGCCTAATGGATAAGGCGTCGGCCTCCTAAGCCGAAGACTGCGGGTTCGAGTCCCGTCGGAGGTAACATAACTACACATAAATAGATATTTGAGTCCTGTCGGAGGTAAATGTTTTAGTAGGACACGAAAATAGATTCGACAACACAAATATTTTTATTAGCGCGGCCCAAACAATTTTAAATGGCCGCCGATTATTATATATATGCACTAAAAATAGTTGGAGGGAAGAAGACAAAATTTTATAGATACGGAGGTTGATTCAATTTAATGCGAGTGAAGAGGTCAATACTATGATCTCAGGTCCTGGATCTCAGCCTTTTTATTCAATCGTAGGCAGGCGGTTAGAATTGGTAGTGTTCTTTCTCAATGGCAAACTCTGAAGGAAGGAATACCCCAAGGGACTAAACTCGGAGTGGTACTTTCTATGGTCATGACAAATAGCTTACTGGCTAATTGGCATCTCCGTACAGAATTCGTGGATGATACTTCAGCCCTCGAGATTATTCCTAGGAACTCTATCAGCCTCCTTAATTTTGCAGTCTCTGATATACATGAATTTGCTAATGAACATAACATGAAGCTCAATCCTAAGAAGTGTAAGGAAATGCTTATAAACTAATTCCTACATAACCCCAATTTCTTACTCCGACCAGTCCAAATTGGTAACAATATTATTGAGCGTGTGACAACGTATAAATCTTTGGGTGTCATTTTGAGTAGCGACCTAAAATGGAATCCCCGTATCGAATACATTGTTAAGAAGGCTAACAAAAAACTATACCCTTTAAGAGTCCTGCGAAGAGCTGGGGTTGACCAAAATAATTTACTGAAAGTGTACCTGTGCACAGTAAGACCGGTACTTGAGTACGCCGTCGCTATTTGGCAAAACATTCCGGATTATCTATCGAAGGAAATTGAGTCGGTCCAAAAACGAGCACTAAAGATAATTTTCTCGGAGAGCGAGTCATATGCGGAGGCCCGCTGAATTTTGCACAACTATCTACTTTAACCACAAGAAGAGTACAAATATGTCAGAAATACATGGTCAGAATGAGGCGAGAAAACCAATATTGCATTTATACCACCTTATTGCCAATACCTGTTGTTCCTGACCATGACATTAATTTGAGACAGAACACTGGTCGCTTTTATCTATTTAATAATGTTACTGATTGCAGAACAATTAAAGCTCAATCCTTTTTTACATTTAAATACTCTTAATATGTTAAGATTTTTTTTAACATATATGAAAATTGTAAATAATTATGCATGCACTATTTACTATTTTGGTAAATGCCTAATGATTTTAACTCTTGTAAATAGCCTAGATTCTAAAGCATATCCATGTACTATTTTATAACATATTCTTATTTATTGTAAAGTACTCGTTAATTCAGTTGTTTCTGTAACTGCAAGAGAGTCCTAATAAACTATTATTATTATTATTATTATTATTATTATTATTATTATGATCACGAACATTTGTTTTCCAATAATAAACTCCTAGAATGTTTTTTAGTTTTATCACTGTAAAATCCTTCTCAGTTATTAGGGATTATAGAGCAGAAGGACTACATATGCAGTTTCAGTTTTCAATGTATAAGCCTTCGTGGCGTAAAGGATAAGTGTCGGCTTCTTAAGCCGAAGATTATGGGGTCGAATCCTGTCGAAGATAAATTCAATTGTTTGTCATGGCACGAACATAGACCTGACAATGACGTAACCTTTATTAAAGAGGCGACAAGGATGCAAATCATTTGTCGCTGGGCAGGGCCTGCAGCGACTCTAGGTTTCGGCACGCATTTGTGTCGGATCTTGGATCGTTAGCCACAAAATGACAATTACGTCATTAATAAGAAATAAAAATTGCGTCATTACTATTGTCGCTGAATTCAAGATGGCCGCTTACTACGAGCGAATGGTATCGATTTTGTACATATTTTTTTATTTTTCCGATGAACCTTAAAAGTTTTCCGATGAAACAGGCTTTATAAAGCGAAAGTCATTTTATGTGAGTAAACTTGAAAGGCTACAAGCTTGAAATAGAGGACAAAAGTTCATAATTTTCAATTTTACAAAGTTGGAACGGGCCGCAACCTCAGTGGCCGCAACCTTTGTAAATCGCAACAGTAATATTCGCAAACTGCTGTTTATTTGGGTTAAATCTGTAATATTTCAGTCATTTTATGATCAATGTATTGTGTTTCTAACGCCGAACGGGAAAATGTTGGAGCCACAGTAATAGACTCTTTCAAGATCAAGATGCCATAATGAAACACAAAGTGTAAGTGCTGCAAACACTATGGAAATTCCTACTAGTAAATTTGCAAGGTTGTATATTAAACACAATGGTGAAAACAATGTATTGAAATTAAGTAGGGGGGGGGGGGGCAATGCAACTCAATGGGTTATTAAAAGTAACTAGCGTGTCAGGCTCTATGCCTGAAATAAAGCCTGCTACTGAGGTCAGTAAAAAGGATTGATGCACATGATTCGTATGCAAAATTCCCATTGGTCAGAAATAAATAGCTTTGTTTTTAAGGTAATGCCAAATTGTTGTTTACGTAATGATATTCCGTACTTGTAATTGTACTTTAACTACTTTTGGCTATGTTAATGACTGCCTTTGCTGCAGTCAATAACAGTTATTAATATTATTATTTAATATGTAATTCCAATAGTTTTGAGATATTGGTGGAAAAGTTGGCCGTTACTGTCATACTTTAAATTAGCTTTGATAATCTAATGTATCAATTAATTCCAGCAGTTCCCACTCCTGGGCCTTTGCAGCTTTTCCTAATCACGGGGGTGGGGCTATTGCCGATATTTTTTAGCCCTGGGGTGAGGATTTTGACATTTTCCATCATGAGGGATTTGGTAGATTTGCTGGAAAACTGATCTTTAATTTGATTGCAAATGGCTTGTGGACATAGCCATTTTCTTCCCAGAAATGGCCAATACCTCGGGGGGATGGGCACTGCTGGAATTGTTATTTTTGTGCATCCCAATCACTGTCCACTTTTTATTGACTTCAGTAACAGGCTTACCCTGCGAGCAAAGTTCTCTCGTATTTCTTCTCAGCACAAAAGAGACTCTGCAGAACTTCTGTATATTCTTTGTGGAGCCGACAATCCAAAAACTTGGATAATTATGAGTAATTTCAGGTTTGATACCAGTTTTATAACCGGTTTTGATCCGAACTGGAAACTACGGTACTTATTAAATCTTCTTCTGGGAAATAGGCAGTTGCTTAGCAACCTTTGCGCATGCTCAAATGATTTTATACACAAGTTCTGCAGAGTCTCTCTCGCTTCTCTGTGCCGTGCCGAGAAGAAATACGAGAGGACTTTGCTCACAGGGTATAACAGGCTCTATTTCAAGCATCGAGCCTGACATACAAGCCACCTTCAAAGGGCCTATTTGGCACTTTTGTTGTGCTTACCCAGCCTGAGGCAAAAGTGATAAATTATGAATTGTTATAAATGTTCTGTGAAGTGCACATATTTTTCCTGCAGTTGGGGACCAGTCCTTATTTATGGAAGAGGGAGGGGGGGGACAAAAGGTGGGGCCATGACCCCATGAGTATAAATAATTTACGAGAAGGGGGGGGGGGGCATTAAATTTTTTGAGAAAATCAGTTGAAGGGTCAAAATGTGGAGTTGCAATAAATTTGTTTAAGCCTGGTTTCCTGGTTTCCTGGTTTCTCAGAAGAGACAGCAATAAGCGCAGAAGCCCTGCGCAGAAGACCTTATTTTAATAGTCCCAGCGACTAAACGCTCAACAGAGCGTTTTTTTTTATTTAAAACACGGTTCGTGGTTTTAAAAGCCAGCAGGTGCCAGGGCCTTTTCTCTTCGCCGAATTTTTAAAAAAGGCCCTGGGAACGAGGTTGTATGTAACTGTTTCTTGCTATGTCGAGACTGTTACGCAAAACAAATGAATGTAAATTAGTATTCGCGCTTTGAACATAACAACTTCTCACATACTGTCCAGCTCGTTTTCTTTTGTTCGCTGAACGCAAGAAAATAGAATTTTATTAGTTCTTAATCGACCTGTTGTATCTTCATAGAGAGCGCGCGGAAGAATTTTTAATGCAGTGAAATCAACGTCACAGAGTGAAAAAAGAGATACTTCAAGAGGCCTCCAGATAAGAAAGGCGGTGAGAGAATTCTTTACATGAATTATTTATGCTAATTATTTTTGCGTGTGTCTATGTTCATATTGAATGAATAAATATTTTGAAAAGAAATGTCCCGCGAGTTTTCTTTGTTAGGGAAAGCCGAAGCGAAGCGTTGTGTTTGGCGTCAAATTGAGGTAGGAACTCGCATCTCGAAACGACGTCATTAAAATACGTCGATTCGATTTGCATTTTTACCTGTTCTAAACATCGATACGACGTCCAAAATGCAACCTGGAAACGATGTCGATTACCAGACGTTGAAACGATGTCGATTTCAAGATGTTAAAAGACGTCGATGTCCAGACTTCGAAAGGACGTCGATTTTCCAGCGCCAATTCAATTTGCGTTTTCAACCCTTTTACGCAAGTCTTTAAAAACAAGCTCCATGTTGATAGCAATAGCGATAACGAAATATTACTGACAATATACGCAGGCCGAAATTATAATTTTTTCACCTTTACCCAGTATAATTTTCCAATCGTTTGGCTTGAGATATAAGATAGTGATAACGAAAACTACTGTTCTACGAAAGTCTTACTTAAAAGAAATAAGCGTACTAGCCGTAAAGCTGAGTTGGGTAGATATCTGGCTGCATTGAAATGGGATTCACTTTTTTCTTCTATTGAAACCTGTGAGGAATTAATGGATGTTTTTTCAATGTGGTTAGTACTGGCCTTAATATATTGATGCCTATAAAAAAAGATTCGGATAAATCTAGCAGACGCTCCATGGATGACTCATCACCTGAAATCATTAATCTTAAACGACAAAAGGCTTTTGATAATCATTGTGTAGCGTCAAGCCAGTACAAGTTCTATAGAAATATTGTCAACCGTGAAAGAAAGTTATGCAAAGCAAATTTTTATAAGTCTAAAATTGAACATACTAAAAAGGAAAAGTATCGTGGAAAGAAATTAAAAGAATATTTCCGGGCGCAGAGAAATACAACTACTTTGACTGACCACATTCAAGACGAAGTCGCTAAAAATCTATCTACGAAAGAGATATAGCTGATGCAATTAACAAGGCGTTTTTAGAACCATTAGAAGAATATCGTTTGCTAAAAACACTCGAGAAAGTACAATTAGAAAACGAGTATGCTGAGTTCCCTGAGGTCACAGAGTGGCGCGTTCAAATGACTTTAACAAGATTAAATCCATCGAAAGCAGGAGGTCCAGCTGGATTTCCGAACTGGCTATTGAAAGATTATTCGGAATTCCTTGCTTTCCCTATAATCGAAATTATTAATGCATTTTCCAAAGAGCGACGGCTCTCTCCTATTTGGAAGATAGCTGACGTATCAACCTTGCCCAAAACTAAGCCGGAGACAGATTTAAGACCCATTTCACTAATTGCGTGTTTGTCCAAGATCGCTGAAGAATTTATGGTACGTGACTATGTAAAACCTGCTGTTCTTAATATTCTCGATCCATTTCAATATGGTGCAATACCTGGGTCGTCTGCTACCTATGACTTTATACACATGATTCATAAATGGATGATAGAAACTGATGGCAATGGTGCTACAGAGAGAACTATATTGCTTGACTCAGTGTTGTAACGAGTCGAGTCATTTACTCGGACTCGAGTCGACTCGAGTTGCTATTTTCAGCGACTCGAGTTCAACAGCCCCAAATGACTCTACTCGGACTCGACTTGCTGATTTTGCCGGAACTGACTCGAGTCAACTCAGCTACAACTTGTAGAGAATAAATTCATCAAAAATATTGTGATTGTATTGCTTGGGAAGAACAATGAGTTATGCTAGTTGTATATACATACACTCGATCAGCAGGCATGATAAGACATCTCTTGTGGTTGTAATTAATATTGACTAGAACTATGATATTGGTGCAGCCTATGGCTGCCCAGATACTGTTATTACATGGCTAAAATGATAAGCTTAAAACGTAGATTTGATTACTAATTTCAAACTGCAAGCTAAGGTAGCGAACCATTACAAAAAGCGTGAGGTGGACCATTCTCGTCTCCAGAGCCATTTTCACTCGGTCACTTGTTGAAAAGTAGGCTGTGGGTTAGGCAACTAAAGCGAGAGATCTGATTGGCTTCTCAGAGAAATCCTATTTCACAGAAGTTGAGCAGTTTTAGCTAGGAAAAATTATTCTATCAACATATGTCAACGCAAATACTTCGTTTCTTCGTAATATTTCACTTTGAAAATTGTTACGGGTGCTAAAGTTTCCCAATTCAAGACCATGCGCTTTAGAAACTACTGCAAGTTTACTTTCACTTCCGGTTCCGTATGTTTCAGGGCCTAGTGAGGACGCGCGCGGGCGAGAGGCCCTGCGGACAAGGATGTGTTTTGACTTGATCAAATTCCCTAACTGAAGTTAAGTCTAGCTATTGACTCGACTCGACTTAGACCAATGACTCGACATGACCCGAGTGAAACCACTGACTCGACTCGATCAGAAACTGAAATGACTCGACTCGTGACTCAACCTTTGAGTGACTCGATTCGACTCGTGACTCGACTTATAAGTGACTCGTTACAACAGTGGCTCGACTATAGTAAGGCGTTCGATCTTATTGATCATAGTATCTTACGAGATGAACTTTGTAAATTGGATTTGCCTAAAAGCGTAATAAATTGGATCATCGATTTTTATCAGACCGCTTACAGCGAATTAAACTCGCCGATGGATGTTTTTCAGAATGGAGTTCTGTGCCATCCGGGGTCCTCCAGGGAACAAAGCTTGGACCATGGTTATTTTTTGTCTTAATCAACGATTTAAATCTTTGCGATATCCAGAATGCTGACATGTGGAAATATGTTGACGATACAACAACCTCGGAAGTTGTAAAGAAAGGAAATAAGAGCAACGCCCAATTCGAGTAAAACTAAATACTGACAAGTGCAAGGAGCTAAGAATTTCCTTTGCGAAAGACGAACCATATTTTCATCCGATTGTTATTGATGGAGAGTGTTTAGAAGTTGTAAAGAGTGCGAAGTTGCTCGGCGTAAAGCTAACAACTAACCTTCTGTGGAATGATCATATCAATGACACAATTATAAAGGCTTCGAAACGAATATATTTCCTTATCCAATTGAAAAGAGCAAAATTATGACCGAAAGATTTAGTTTTCTTCTATATAATATGTATTAGATCTGTTCTAACTTATGCCATTCCTGTGTTTATCGATTATTAGTCCAAACATTGCTTACAGTCAGGCCTTCCAAAAAGCGAACATTTCGACCATAATTGATTAAAGTGAACTAGTGTGTGATAAAGTATTTTATTCCATTGTTAATGATAGTGAAAACAAACTTTTTAGATTACTTCCTGGTTCAAATAACGTTCCGTATGACTTACGAGAAAAGAGACATTTTATAATTTCAGAATAGAAAACTAATCGTTACAGGAACACCTTTATAATGACTAATTGTATTAAAAATAACTATAGTTAATTAATTATTCTTAATTTATGCTTTGTAAATATACTTAGACTTAACTCTTTTTTAATAATAGCTTTTTAAATTTGATATCTAAGAAAAATATTTGTATTTCATGTTGCGTTCAAGCTCGCTGGTCGTTTAGGACTATAACTAGGGAAAAGCAGAAGAGGACACATGCAGAGCACACACATATTTAATGAGTCATTTTCTTGTCGGCTCTTCCCGGATATATGGAAAGTATCCAAGGTGTGTGGAATACCAAAGAACAAGCCTTGCTGTTCAGTAGATCTTCCGAGACCAATTGCACTAACAAGTACCTTGTCCAAAGTCCAAGAGTCACACGTCACCAAATGGATTCATGAAGATGTTCGGGAAAAAATTGGTGAATTCCAGTTTGGCGGCCTTCCTGGTACACCTGCAGTTCAAGCCTTGATCTACTTACTGCATAAACGGCACTCGGAAATACACACTCCAGGAAAGGTCATTAGAATTGTTTTTCTTGATTTTCAGAAGGCGTTTGATCTTGTAGATCACAACAAGCTTCTTGAGACCTTCAATGGAATCGGTGTACGGCCCGCATTAGTGGGTTGGTTTGCGTCCTATCTACATGGCAGATCGCAATTTACATCATTTCAAGGTGAGCAATCGGACCTGCGAAAGATCAGGGGTGGAGTCCCACAGGGTAGCAAGCTGGGTCCGATAGCATTTATCCTGAAAATTAACCATCTCCCACAAGTCGCTATACCTAATGAGCAGGAACACATATGTGAAGCATCTGATGATCAAGATATAGCTATGTTCGTTGATGATAGTACATTGTCCGGAGTCATTACCATAACTCAAAATTCATCTGTTACCCAATTGGTAACACCCAACGAAGTGTAAATAACGTAGTGCAATTTGCAAAGGATGAGAGTATGGAACTGAATGGAAAAAATGTAAAGAAATGCTAATTGATTTTCGGAAGAAGAAAACAGAAATACCACTGATTAATATTGGCGACGATAAAATATCCCGTGTAAAGTCGTATAAATTGTTAGGAATATGGATAGACGATGACATGAGATGGAAAACCAACACTGAGTATATTGTAAAAAAAGCCGCTAAGCGACTTTACCTCTTGAAGATTTTAAAGAGTTATGGTGCACCAAACAATGACCTATTTGCTTTCTATTGTACAGTAATTCGTTCTGTTCTGGAGTATGGTGCACAAATATGGAGTGGTGGTCTAACACAAATGCATAAGAAAAACATAGAAAGAATCCCAAAACGAGCCCTCCGAATAATTTATCCTGGCCTTTGTGATATGGACTTCTATTATCTCAGAGCAATCTGCTGACCTTAGGAAAACGCAGAAACAATTTATGTGCCTCCTTAATTGAGGACATGTTACAACCATCACACAGATTTCACGGACTATTGCCAAAGAAACTGAGTGACATTAGGGAAAGAGAGACTAGGACAAATGGCGAAAAGATTTATAACTTTTTTTCCAACACTGAACGTTTTAGAAACAGCCCTGTAGCTCATGCTATTAATGAATATAATTTTAAATTAGATAAGTAAGATTTATATACATATTTATACAATTCCATATATATATATAAACGATTTTAATATACATATAGGTCCATTGATGTAAATAGTTTTAAATAAGTAATAATTCTAATTAATTCTAATTAATATCTGACGATGTAAACACGTTGTAATTTAGCTTTTTGCTATTGAACGTGTATTAATAAACCCAACCCACTATTATTTAACAAAATGCTCAATTTAAGTGCACGCTAAACACGACTCACACACAAATAAAAACGTTTTCTGCATTCACAGTTAATTGAATAGTTAAAAAATCTCACATTACAATATTTTACTTACAAGTCGGAAAACTTTGTCTTTGTGGTAACACAGGTGGTTCATTTCAGTTGGAGATTTTCAAACTCATACAACACCTATAATTGTGAAATAAAAACAGATTAGTTGCCGCCATATACAACAATCATCTTAGTAAATCTCTGTGCGCACAAACCGGATGTACTCATCAGCATGATAAATGCACGCAGAAATATATCGAGTTTAGAAACGTTTTCTGCGTGCGGAATTCCTTCCAATTTATATAACCTTGTTGCCTTCTGACAGAGGCCTCAATGCATGTTGAGCGTGAAAATTATCTCTGTCCTGGGGCAGATTCACTCTCTGGAATATGATTTATCACACGCCGGAAATTGTTTCAGGTTCAACTCACTTCAAATGCCACGAGAGCACAACAAAAGTTTTTAATACGGCCAAGTTTAATATTCACGTTCACGAAATCTATACAACCGCATATTTTGCTGGCCCAGTTTAGACAAATGATGATGTTTAGACCATGTGCACAGTTACTAACACTAGAAACATAAGCGCCTAATCTACGAGGCAAACACCGAATAAGGCATTCGCGAACAAAGACAAAGCAAAAAGGCAAACAGTGAGATTATAAAATATTAGGCAGTAATTTACGTGCTGAATAGAATATACTAAACAGCTTTTCAAGACACGAAGCACATTTAACAAAATGCTCAATTTAAGTGCACACTGAATAGTTAAAAAATATCACATTACAATATTTTACTTACAAGTCGGAAAACTTCGTTTTTGAAATGCGGTAACATAGGCGGTTCGTTTCAGTTGGAGATTTTCAAACTCATACAACACCTATAATTGTGAAATAAAAACAGATTAGTTGCGGTCATATACAACAAAATTATCTAGTAAATCTCTGCGCGCAATAAATATTCTGCGCGCAAACAGAAATTTCCGTAGGCAACAAAAATTCCATAAGCAAACGGTTTACCAAATTTATATCAGACTTACCGATAACATGAGCGTTATGTTTTGAATCGTTGAATCATAAATTTGTAGATTATTCTCCACGACTTCAGTTCACCTGAATCATAATTAAACAGAAAGTTAGCTTTAGTCACAACACACATCATTAGTTAGAAATAACATATACAACGCGTGTCAAAAGACAACAAACCTGGTATTCAATCCCGAACGTTCAGAGAATGCGAAAAAGAAGGATTCGTTATCACAAACCCTAGTCCTTAGTATGCTAGTTGCATTCACACAATGAAGCAAATTACGATCTCCCTAGCGTTATAAAGTATATAATTTCATACCATACACAATTTGCGATCATTTGATTGGTTTATTTGTGAAAAGGAATTGACATACATTTCTTTGGCAAAGTGCTATTAAAGTATAACACAGCTCATCAAATTACATGCACACATCTCGCAGCTGTCAAATCAGCAGATGCAACCAGAAAAAATAATTGACCAAAAACAAAGAGACAGTATCAACCAAATGTTATCGTTTCTGTAACTTTGTCAAAGAGAATAGTAGAGAGTAATCTCCGGGAGCACTGGAACTTTGCCAAATAAAATAGCTAATAGACAAACAGATTTTTTGGTATAATTAGCGACACTGACTTACATATACAACTATATAGTTCATTTCAAATCTATATCACGAGCGGCGTCTCTGGTCCCCTCGTGTAAAAGTCATGCAGGTATAGATTTGAAATGAACTTACTTGAAAATATGATTCCAACTTGTGCCTAAAAAGTTGCTCTCTAAATGACATATCTCTAAATGACATATCTCTAAATGACATATATAAATGACATATCTATGTGTGTGACATGTACCCTTCACCACAAGAAATCATCCGGCGAGGAGTTGAAGGCGTGGAAGTTGAGGAGTTGAAGGCAATCATGGGACGAGGAGTTGAAGGCGTTCAGAGATACATACATGTCGACAGCAGCGGCCGGGAGGGCAGCTCCGAATCGTAATCAGTCTGAAACGGATCAAATACACAAGTCAATGAATTAGAGATGGATGGATGAATGATGGAATGAATTAGAGGGATTAATTAGATTAAAAAATTTCAATATTCCTATGCATATTGTCTGTCCTGGGCAGCCAGCTAGCGACGCCTAATTCCACATACTTGTCGGGCGAACAGCCATAGCGCTTGTGATTCTTTCAGGTTTTTGCTTGGGCTGTGGCAAATGTGTTAGGCCCAAGGAATTTTCAACTATTCACTAGCCAATACATACTAGCCAATACATGCATATCAGGTCATATGAACTGAACTGCATTCCTACATACGAGAGATGTCAGTCATTTAGAGAGCGACTTTAATTTAGGCACATGTTCGAATCATATTTTCATATCTTATACCTGCACGATTATTCAATTATATAGCAGCACGAAGCTCGCCAATTAATAAATTCGAATCATAATCAGTCTGGAAAATAAATGAGATCTGAATGAATTAGAGGCGAATGATGGAATGAATTAGAGGGACTAGATAATCTAAACACCATTGTTGCTCCTTTTGCCTGTATGCGTCGGTCCTTCACCAGTTTAGTTTGGTCGGCCTCCTCACATCCGCCCTGTACGCACTTACAGATGCGATGGCCACAGCTATTGGTCTTTCAGCAGGGTCCTCTTTGCGCACCACGCAGCAGCCCATTTTTAAATCGTCTTGCCAGTCGAATTCCAGGTCACTCACGTACTGCCTGTAGGTTTCCATATCCAGGCGGCTGGCAACAGCATCTTCTCTGCTTAACAAAGACTTGATGCGGTCAAGATGCGTCGCAACGTACCTAAGGCTGAACAATTTTATAGAGAACGGAAAACGCTGCTCGATAACTTCTCGGAAATTCTCCATGCTTTTGCCAATGTTTTAAAATTACGAACGTTATATATTTTTGAATTTTGAATTACATTTGATACATTTAAATTACATGTAACGGTCGTTTATATAATTCATTATATTGATTTCAATTAATATTTAAATACACAAAGTACTTAAAATTATTACTGTAAAACGACATAATTTTTAATACTACGGCACAGTTCATTTACTAACAAGATGATTAAAAAAGTTATTAATAATTCATGAGGAAAAAACAAAAGACATCACTACGAGGTCGGTGACGGTTGTTTTATATGTGATGAAAAATATGTGTTGAGCTTTGATTTTTACGGAATAGGCAACATTTATATTTAAAATTAGTTCGCCAATAAACTTATATCAGATGGATAAGGCATTCGCGCACAAAGACAATGCTATAAGGCACACAGTGAGATTATAAAATATTAGGCAGTAATTTACGTGCTGAATAGAATATACTAAACAGCTTTTCAAGACACGAAGCACATTTAACAAAATGCTCAATTTAAGTGCACGCTGAATAGTTAAAAAATATCACATTATAATATTTTACTTACAAGTCGGAAAACTTCGTTTTTGAAATGCGGTAACACAGGCGGTTCGTTTCAGTTCGAGATTTTCAAACTCATACAACACCTATAATTGTGAAATAAAAACAGATTAGTTGCGGTCATATACAACAAAATTATCTAGTAAATCTCTGTGCGCAATACATATTCTGCGCGCAAACAGAAATTTCCGTAGGCAACAAAAATTCCATAAGCAAACGGTTTACCAAATTTATATCAGACTTACCGATAACATGAGCGTTATGTTTTGAATCGTTGAATCATAAATTTGTAGATTATTCTCCACGACTTCAGTTCACCTGAATCATAATTAAACAGAAAGTTAGCTTTAGTCACAACACACATCATTAGTTAGAAATAACATATACAACGCATGTCAAAAGACAACAAACCTGGTATTCAATCCCGAACGTTCAGAGAATGCGAAAAAGAAGGATTCGTTATCACAAACCCTAGTCCTTAGTATGCTAGTTGCATTCACACAATGAAGCAAATTACGATCTCCCTAGCGTTATAAAGTATATAATTTCATACCATACACAATTTGCGATCATTTGATTGGTTTATTTGTGAAAAGGAATTGACATACATTTCTTTGGCAAAGTGCTATTAAAGTAGAACACGGCGCATCAAATTACATGCACACATCTCGCAGCTGTCAAATCAGCAGATGCAACCAGAAAAAATAATTGACCAAAAACAAAGAGACAGTATCAACCAAATGTTATCGTTTCTGTAACTTTGTCAAAGAGAATAGTAGAGAGTAATCTCCGGGAGCACTGGAACTTTGCCAAATAAAATAGCTAATAGACAAACAGATTTTTTGGTATAATTAGCGACACTGACTTACATATACAACTATATAGTTCATTTCAAATCTATATCACGAGCGGCGTCTCTGGTCCCCTCGTGTAAAAGTCATGCAGGTATAGATTTGAAATGAACTTACTTGAAAATATGATTCCAACTTGTGCCTAAAAAGTTGCTCTCTAAATGACATATATATAAATGACATATATAAATGACATATCTATGTGTGTGACACGTACCCTTCGCCACAAGAAATCATCCGGCGAGGAGTTGAAGGCGTGGAAGTTGAGGAGTTGAAGGCGATCATGGGACGAGGAGTTGAAGGCGTTCAGAGATACATACATCTCGACAGCAGCGGCCGGGAGGGCAGCTCCGAATCGTAATCAGTCTGAAACGGATCAAATACACAAGTCAATGAATTAGAGATGGATGGATGAATGATGGAATGAATTAGAGGGATTAATTAGATTAAAAAATTTCAATATTCCTATGCATATTGTCTGCCCTGGGCAGCCAGCTAGCGACGCCTAATTCCACATACTTGTCGGGCGAACAGCCATAGCGCTTGTGATTCTTTCAGGTTTTTGCTTGGGCTGTGGCAAATGTGTTAGGCCCAAGGAATTTTCAACTATTCACTAGCCAATACATACTAGCCAATACATGCATATCAGGTCATATGAACTGAACTGCATTCCTACATATGAGAGATGTCAGTCATTTAGAGAGCGACTTTAATTTAGGCACAAGTTCGAATCATATTTTCATATCTTATACCTGCATGATTATTCAATTATATAGCAGCACGAAGCTGTCCAATTAATAAATTCGAATCATAATCAGTCTGGAAAATAAATGAGATCAGAATGAATTAGAGGCGAATGATGGAATGAATTAGAGGGATTAATTCTATTAAAAAATTTTAATATTCCTATGCATATTGTCTGTCCTGGGCAGCCAGCTAGCGACGCCTAATTCCACATACTCGTTGGGCGAACAGCCATAGCGCTTGTGATTCTTTCAGGTTTTTGCTTGGGCTGTGGCAAATGTGTTAGGCCCAAGAAATTTTCAACTATTCACTGGCCAATACATACTAGCCAATACATGCATATCAGGTCATATGAACTGAACTGCATTCCTAGATACGAGAGATGTCAGTCATTTAGAGAGCGACTTTAATTTAGGCACAACTTCGAATCATATTTTCATATCTTATACCTGCACGATTATTCAATTATATAGCAGCACGAAAGTTAATTTGATGCATGGAAGATCTATGTATACATTCCAATGGCCGGGACCCGACCGTTGGAATGTTATTAATATTTCGTATCTTTTGAACTTTCTTGAATTGAATCTCTTGTCTGTATTCATTTACAAGCTTAGCGAACCAGTAGAGTGTGAAAAATTCAGTACAATATATATCTAATCATATTTTACAACTGTAGCAGTGAGTTCAAAATGTAAGCAAAGCGCCCGTTGTTTACATTACGGACTTTACATGGTCTTTAATAACTGTAATGGAAAATCATTCTAAAATATTGGAACTAAAAATATACTATTTCTTTGCAGTCTGGGCAGGTTGTAGAATATTTGGCTGAGCAAAGTTCAGGTTTATTAATTTAGTTGAAAGCACGTGTAATGAACAATTGGTTAATTAAACGCTCGACTTTTATAAAGAGATATTTCGACAATGTGATATATTAAATTTATTTACATTTCCGGGTTCTAGAACAGTTGTGATATTGCAAACAGGAGAAAATATGTAAATGTAAAGTGTAAAATAGGCGAGATTGTTCATTACAAAATGTACAAATTATGGACTTTAATAATCTTGCAAAATTAAGGGGAATTTTGAAATTTATATTCATATCATTGCATCATATGAAAGTTTCAATTTATACTCATATGTGGAATTTAAACATATGACATCATTTGGTATAAATAATGTATGAATATACAAATACTCGAGAACACTATTTCTGAATCAAACAACCCAAAATAGGCAGTTTTTTTAAACTCAAAGCAAAACTCACCTTGTTTACAAGACCAAATACGGCAGCGATCGCTTGGTTTTGACACAACATTGCCATAAAAGGGAATGGTTCTAGCGCCTCTACGCAGCAAAGGCGCTAGAAGGGAATTCCCGTTGACCTCATGCGATCGTATATAAAGCGAGACGCGTAGCGAAATTTATTCACATCGGGCCATATGTTCAATCACCGTTATGGGAATATAGATAGAGAATATAGAAAGATTTATTGGAGAAGAGGGCGAAGACAACAAGATAAAAAGACTTGCTGATGGAATAAAAAATTCTATATCTCTCTTTTCGACCGTAGAAGAGGTACGATACAATAAAATGTATTTAATCCATTGAGGAAATCATTTACAGCATTGTGGCGCGTTTTTCACTTTTTAAAATTTCTCTTTTTTCGTTTTTCATCTCTAGGAGTGTTTGAAAGTGACAATATGGATGAGGAATTGACACGCGCGGTTGAAGAGAAGTCGCATGTAATTGGCTCGAAGCACAAACTTCCCATGCCAAGAGTAGGAAGTGGTAAGGGCAGTCCTCTGAAGCCTCGAAAAGTCCATGTGTCAAGGAGACAACAACGGGTACGGGAAAAGCGTGGTTTCGATCTATCTGAATTCGGACGCGAGCGGCGAGTCGCGCACCAAAAAGACAAGCCATCTACGAGTACCGCAGGTGACAAAACCTTGAATAAGTCAACATCCCCACCACCAGAGACACCACCACCAGAAACACCACCACCAACAGCGCAAGAAACACCACCACCAACAGCGCAAGAAGCACCTGCCTCACCACCAGTGCAACAGACGTCTTCGCCAACACCTTTATCGCCAGCAGCACCAGTAGCAGCAGAGTCGCCAATTCCTTTTAAAGACAATGGGCCTCTGAGTTTACAGATCAGAGACGATTCACAAGTCGAGGCAGCGTTCAACGATTTCAGCTGTTGGCAGCGATGTCACAAGACGGCGAGACGTCTTCATTAGGGTCTGACGTTAGTGATCAGGCGACGGATGATGAACTAGGCCTCTTTGAACGAGAGATAGAAAAATGGCAGCGAGTTGAATCGCGGATAGAATATGCTATTCGCGACACGTGGTACGAAATATCCAAAAATACCACACCGGATCCAAGGGACAGTGAAATTTTGGAGACGCTTGTTACCCTGCACAACATGTCAAACGCTGTGGCAAACTCAATGGCCCATCTTAAAGGGTATCTTGTACAGCAGTGTCACCAACGTGAAAACTGGGGGAAAGAACTCGAGATTACACGAGACGAAATATCTTCTGGAATTCGTGCAGCGGAATATTCAGAGTATATTTCATTGATAACGCAATGTGCACGTGGTGATTGCCAAGAGTGTACTGAGGTGTTGGAATTTGACGGTGCCTACAACAGGTATGATGAATTGTTTTCCTTACTGTCGTTAACCGCGGGAAATGTGATTGTGTTATGACGTCACTAGTAGCATTTAACACAGGATATAATATCTAGGTGATGGACGAATTCACTCATCATTTGTAACAAATATCAATTAGGTTTTGTTAAGTGCAACCAGTGACGTCTGCATAATTCTAGACAATTTTCACAGAAAAGCGATAATTTTCACATGTGAAATTATCATAAATAATTATCATTAATGGGAAATTCACGATTTCGATTCGTACGTGAAAAAAATAAGATAAACATAAGATAAGATCTACACGACATAACCGCCTTACAGCTATCTAATGCACTCCAATCTTCGCGAAAGTTATATTTTATGACGTTAATAATGCAACTAAGATGTGCTGTAATTGTGTTAGGCATTAGTTTTCTAACTTTTGATAGATAATCGACATATTCACAAATTAGCGTGTCCGTATTAAAAATATTGAGAGTCACAACTGGTACATTCCTGTGATGGATACAGAAATATAAAAAACAATATATTCTTTCGACTAATTTATCTAGAGTTTGTTTTGCGAAAGGGCGGGCCATTACGTTTGGGGTCAATTCAATTGTATAAAACTTACATAGTTCGTTCACTTCAGTGTTTACGATTTCGCCAGCCTCTTGTTTGCTTAATTTGTAGGGAATCCTGCATCTCTTCCCTGATTGTGGTGTGGATTCATTGCCGCTGTTGCTGGTCATACCGCGACTGGAAGGAGGCGTAGGAAATTCTGCTGGGCTGACGGCAACAACTTTACACACTTGCTTTGATGAAGTTGGTGTCGCAGTTTCGACAATCTCCATCTTTTGCGACGACGAGGAAGTAACAGTCGCAGCAGCGTTCGACGTATTCAGCGATAATGTAGTTTTCGGTGTCGCAATAGTTCCGTCATCGTCTTCTGAACTTCCGTCATCGCTATAGACAACCAGTTTGGGTTGGGGGCAAGTTGGTGAACGGCAGGCGACTTCTTTTGCACATGTTTTTTCAACTTTCTCGTTTATCAGGCATTTCAAGTCAGTCTCGAATAAGGCCAAACACTGAACTTTTCAATTGAGGGTTGGCGTGTTTGAAAACACGCCTTTCGTCCAGGGTGGGGTATAGCGTTTCAATTTTAGAGTTTCTTAACCACAACCTGACGGTGCTTCTCGAAACATTTGGGAAGATTTGGTTGCATGCTTCAATAAAGCAATACAGTTTCTGTTCTCCTCGTGTAACGAAAGTCAACTGTTTCAATGTTTCCATATGCAGTCTCGCTGTGTAATCTAAAACAAGTCAGGAAAGCTGTGTTTTAATATAATTTTCGTATTAACTTTCTAAAGTACTGGGCGGAGGACTTGAAATATTCGTTCCAGCCTTTTTTTACACACAAAAAATCACGAAATCATTCAATAATTTGCGAAATAATATTTCAAATCCGACTATGAGGACTGGACTAGATTTCAAGTCCGTGCAATTTGATCACATCCAAGGTGAAGCCGAGGACTCTTAACTCATTTCGATGCAGTCCAGCGACTGAATTGATTTTGACCCAGTCCCTAATTAGGATCAATATACTTCGTCAAATATCTAGTATTGTCCATGTGAGCAAAATAAGGCAATATGGTTGACTTATTTACTCATGAATTATTAATGACTTTGAGATGTCGAATTCAAAGGCCTCGAAAGAGGGGGTTTGCTCCAGTCCTCGGTTTCACCTCGAAGTAAAACAAATCCTCGTACTTGAAACCCGGTCAAGTCCTGTCTCGAGACCTTTATTAATACACTTCAATTATTTTCTATAGTCAATTCGACCTTGCCGAAATATGCACTAAATAATTTTAGCCGGGACCAGTCTCAGCACAAAACTGAAAATTTCCATAGCAGAAATAAACCTAACCCTAACCCTAAATGCTATTTCTCATTGTAATCGGCTAGAAAAATTATAACCCTAACACCTAATTACTAACCCTAAATCGTATTTCCTCATTGTGATCGGCTAAGAAAATTCTAATCCTAACACGTAATTACTGGCCTAAACCATAGCCCTAAACTGCATGATAAATGCACGCAGAAATATATCGAGTTTAGAAACGTTTTCTGCACGCAGAATTCCTTCCAATTTATATAAACTTGTTGCCTTCTGACAGAGGCCTCAACGCATGTTGAGCGTGAAAATTATCTCTGTCCTAGGGCAGATTCACTCTGTGGAATATGATTTATCACACGCCGGAAATTGTTTCAAAGTTCAACTCACTTCAAATGCCACGAGAGCACAACAAAAGCTTTTAATACGGCCAAGTTTAATATTCACGTTCACGCAATCTATACAACCGCGTATTTTGCTGGCCCAGTTTAGACAAATGATGATGTTTAGACCGCGTGCACAGTTACTAACACGAGAAACATAAGCGCCTAATCTACCAGGCGAACACCGAGCATTCGCGCACAAAGACAATGCTATATTAAAGGCACACAGTGAGATTATAAAATATTAGGCAGTAATTTACGTGCTGGATAGAATATACTAAACAGCTTTTCAAGACACAAAGCACATTTAACAAAATGCTCAATTTAAGTGCACTCTGAATAGTTAAAAAATCTCACATTACAACTGATATTTTACTTACAAGTCGGAAAAATTCGTTTTTGAAACGCGGTAACACAGGCGGTTCGTTTCAGTTGGAGATTTTCAAACTCATATAACACCTATAATTGTGAAATAAAAACAGATTAGTTGCCGTCATATACAACAAAATTAGCTAGTAAATATCTGCGCGCACAAACCGGATGTACTCATCAGCATGATAAATGCACGCAGAAATATATCGAGTTTTGAAACGTTTTCTGCGTGCAGAATTCCTTCCAATTTATATAAACTTGTTGCCTTCTGACAGAGGCCTCAACGCATGTTGAGCGTGAAAATTATCTCTGTCCTAGGGCAGATTCACTCTGTGGAATATGATTTATCACACGCCGGAAATTGTTTCAAAGTTCAACTCACTTCAAATGCCACAAGAGCACAACAAAAGCTTTTAATACGGCCAAGTTTAATATTCACGTTCACGAAATCTATACAACCGCGTATTTTGCTGGCCCAGTTTAGACAAATGATGATGTTTAGACCGCGTGCACAGTTACTAACATGAGAAACATAAGCGCCTAATCTACCAGGCGAACACCGAGCATTCACGCACAAAGACAATGCTATATTAAAGGCACACAGTGAGATTATAAAATATTAGGCAGTAATTTACGTGCTGGATAGAATATACTAAACAGCTTTTCAAGACACGAAGCACATTTAACAAAATGCTCAATTTAAGTGCACTCTGAATAGTTAAAAAATCTCACATTACAACTGATATTTTACTTACAAGTCGGAAAAATTCGTTTTTGAAACGCGGTAACACAGGCGGTTCGTTTCAGTTGGAGATTTTCAAACTCATATAACACCTATAATTGTGAAATAAAAACAGATTAGTTGCCGTCATATACAACAAAATTATCTAGTAAATCTCTGCGCGCAATAAATATTCTGCGGGCAAACAGAAATTTCCGTAGGCAACAAAAATTCCATAAGCAACCGGTTTACCAAATTTATATCAGACTTACCGATAAGATGAGCGTTATGTTTTGAATCGTTGAATCATAAATTTGTAGATTATTCTCCACGACTTCTGTTCACCTGAATCATAATTAATTAAACAGAAAGTTAGCTTTAGTCACAACACACATCATTAGTTAGAAATAACATGTACAACGCGTGTCAAAAGACAACAAACCTGGTATTCAATCCCGAACGTCAAGAGAATGCGAAAAAGAAGGATTCGTTATCACAAACCCTAGTCCTTAGTATGCTAGTTGCATTCACACAATGAAGCAAATTACGATTACCCTAGCGTTATAAAGTATATAATTTCATACCATACACAATGTGCGATCATTTGATTGGTTTATTTGTGAAAAGGAATTTACATACATTTCTTTGGCAAAATGCTATTTAACTTTAACACGGCGCATCAAATTACATGCACACATCTCGCAGCTGTCAAATCATATAATATATAATGCAACCAGAAAAAAATAATTGACCAAAAACAAAGAGACAGTATCATTCAAATGTTATCGTTTCTGTAACTTTGTCAAAGAGAATAGTAGAGAGTGTAATCTCCAGGAGCGCACGAACTTTGCACAGCAAATAAAAAAGCTAACAGACAAACAGATTTTTTGGTATAATTAGCAACACTGACTTACATGTATAACTATATAGTTCATTTCACATCTATCACAAGCCGCGTCTCTGGTCCCCTCGTGTAAAAGTCATGCAGGTATAGATTTGAAATGAACTTACTTGAAAATATGATTCCAACTTTTTTTTTTTTATTCTCAGGCTTATCAAATGAAACATTTTTCATAAGCACGCATTGTGCCAACAACACGAGGCCTTCACACTATCATATTTCACACTACATTTTTATCTAACATTTAGGGACTGTTGTGGCATAAATTTATTACTAGGACACCAATATGGTTCTCATTACCTATATCTAAACTTAAAAAACGTGTGGCAGGTGGTTAGGCAGGCAATTGGGACTGAATATTAATTGCCTCACGTACTGGCAAAGCGAATATGCACGCATCAGGTCACAACTGCTGCATGGCAGGTAGGTTCACTTGCACACATATGAGAGGTGTCATTATTTTTTTTTAATCATATTTTCCAGTCTATACCTGCATATGTTTTTCAATTACACAGAGCAGCACGGCAGCTCTCATAATCAGGCTGGAAAATCAATGAGATGTCAATTAATTAGAGATGAGAATTAGAGATTAAAGAGAGATTAATTAGATTAGAAAATTTCAATATATTCCCATCCGTAGAAATATATATTCTCTCTCCCCCATTAGCGCCTGTGATTCTCTCAGGTCTCCGGAGAGGGTTGTGGCAAATGTGTTAGGCCCAAGGAATTTTCAACTATTCACTAGCCAATACATACTAGCCAATACATGCATATCAGGTCATATGAACTGAACTGCATTCCTACACACGAGAGATCTGATGTCAGTCATTTAGAGAGCGACTTTAATTTAGGCACAAGTTCCAATCATATGTTCATATCTTATTATACCTGCACGATCAGGTCACAACTGCATGGCAGTTCAGTCAGTTGCCACATATGAGAGATGTCATTATTTTTTTAGAATCATATATTCCAGTCTATACCTGCATATGTCTGTTAATCACGTAGCAGCAGGGAAGTTAATTTGATGCAGGGAAGAAATAGTCGAATAGTCTAACTTTTTATTTCAGCTTGATGTCGAATATATTATTAAGATCATGTCCCGACCATTGGAATGTAAGCGTCCGCAAAACGGCCTTTTAAATGAATATAAATTTCAAAATTCCCCTTTATTTTGCAAGATTATTAAAGTCCATAATTTGTACATTTTGTAATGAACAATCTCGCCTATTTTACATATTACATTTACATATTTTCTCCTGTTTGCAATATCACAACTGTTCTAGAACCCGGGATGTAAATAAATTTAATATATCACATTAATATCGAAACATCTCCAGCGTTTAATTAGTCAATTGTTTTACACATGCTTTGAACTAAATTAATAAACCTGAAGTTTGCTCAGCCAAATATTTAAAAGGCCGTTTTGTTTGCTCAGCCAAATATTTAAAAGGCCTTTAAAAGGCCGTTTTGCGGATGCTTACATTCCAATGGTCGGGACCCGACCGTTGGAATGTTATTAATATTTCGTATCTTTTCAACTTTCTTGAATTGAATCTCTTGTCTGTATTCATTTACAAGCATAGCGAACAAGAAGAGTGTTAAAAATTCAGTATAATATATATCTAATCATATTTTACACCCGTAGCAGTGAGTTCAAAATGTAAACAAAGCGTCTGTTTACATTACGGACTTTACATGGTGTTTAATAACTGTAATGCAAAATAATTCTAAAATATTGGAACTAAAACTATACTATTTCTTTGCAGTCTGGGCAGGTTGTAGAATATTTGCCGGAACAAACTTCAGGTTTATTAATTTAGTTCAAAGCACGTGTAAAACAGTTGACTAATTAAACGCTGGAGATGTTTCGATATTAATGTGATATATTATATTAAATTTATTTACATTCCGGGTTCTAGAACAGTTGTGATATTGCAAACAGGAGAAAATATGTAAATGTAATATGTAAAATGGGCGAGATTGTTCATTACAAAATGTACAAATTATGGACTTTAATAATCTTGCAAAATAAAGGGGAATTTTGAAATTTATATTCATATCATTGCATCATATGAAAGTTTCAATTTATACTCATATGGGGAATATATTGAAACATATGACATCATTTGGTATAAATAATGTATGAATATACAAATACTCGAGAACACTATTTCTGAATCAAACAACCCAAAATAGGCAGTTTTTTTAAACTCGAAGCAAAACTCACCTTGTTTACAAGACCAAATACGGCAGCGATCGCTTGGTTTCGACACAGCATTGCCATAAAAGGGAATGGTTCTAGCGCCTCTACACAGCGAAGGCGTTAGGAAGGGAATTCCCGCTGACCTCATGCGATCGTATATAAAGCGAGACGCGTAGCGAAATTTATTCACATCGGGCTATATGTTCAATCACCGTTATGGATAAAGCTGAAATATTGGAGTACGTGCGTAGTTCCGAAGGTCGATCGAAGAGAATATAGAAAGATTTATAGACGAGGATGGCAAGGACGACAAGATAAAAAGACTTGCTGATGGAATAAAAACATTCTATATCTCTCTTTTCGACCGTAGAAAAGGTACAATACGATAAAATAAAAATGTATTTAATCCATTGAGCAAATCATTTACAGCATTGTGGCGCGTTTTTCACTTTTTACAATTTCTTTTTTTTCGTTTTTCATCCCTATAGGAGTGTTTGACACGCGCGGTTGAAGAGAAGTCGCATTCACCTGTAATTGGTTCGAAGCGCAAACGTGCCATGCCAAAAGTAGGGAGCGGTAAGGGCAGTCCTCTGAAGCCTCGAAAAGTCCACGTGTCAAGGAGACAACAACGGGTACGGGAAAAGCGTGGTTTCAATCTATCTGGATTTGGTCGCGAGCGGCGAGTCGCGCGCCAAAAAGACGAGCCATCTACGAGTACCGCAGGCGACAAACCCTTGAATGCGTCAACATCTCCACCACCAGAGACACCACCACCAGGAACACCACCACCATCAGCGCAAGAAACACCACCACCAACAGGGCAAGAAGCACCTGCCTCACCACCAGTGCAACAGACGTCTTCACCAACACCTTTATCGCCAGCAGCACCAGTAGCAGCAGCAGCAGACGCACAAATTCCTTTTAAAGACGATGGGCCTCTGAGTTTACAGATCAGAGACGATTCATGGGGGCGAGGCGGCGTTCAACGATTTCAGCTGCTGGCAGCGATGTCACAAGACGGCGAGACGTCTTCGTTAGGATCTGACGCTAGCGATAATCAGGCCTCCGATGATGAACTAGGCCTGTTTGAACGAGAGATAGAACACTGGCACCGAGTAGACTCACGGTTAGAGTATGCTATTCGCGACATGTGGTACGAAATTTCCAAAAATACCACACCGGATCAAAGCGACAGTGAATTTTTGGAGACGCTTGTTACCGTGCACAACATGTCAAACGCTGTGGCAAACTCAATGGCCCATCTTAAAGGGTATCTTGTACAGCAGTGTCACCAACGTGACACCTCGGGAAAAGAACTCGAGATTACACGAGACGAAATATCTTCTGGACTTCGCGCAGCGGAATATTCAGAGTATATTGCATTGATAAAGCAATGTGCACGTGGTGATTGCCAAGAGTGTACAGAGGTGTCAGAATTTGACGATGCTTACAACAGGTATGATGAATTGTTTTCCTTACTGTCGTTAACCGTGGGAAATGTGATTGTGTTATGACGTCACTAGTAGCATTTAACACAGGATATAATATCTAGGTGATGGACGAATCATTTGTAACAAATATCGATTAGGTTTTGTTAAGTGAAACCAGTGATGTCTGCATAATTCTAGAAAATGTTCACAGAAAAGCGATAATTTTTACAGAAAAGCGATAATTTTCACATGTGAAATCATCATAAATAATTATCATTAATGGGAAATTCACGATTTCGATTCGTACGTGAAAAAAATAAAATAAACAAAGGTAACTCCGAAAATATAAAATAGATGTTGTTTTACATTATCAGTTGAAAAGGTACTTTTTGTTTCTCATTAATTAATAATAGTCCAAAAATCTATAGATCGTGAATTTTCCTTTAACAATATATATATATATATATATATATATATATATATATATATATATATATATATATATATATATATATATATATTATTAGATAGATAGATATAGATAGATATAGATAGATATAGATATTATTATTTTATTATTATTATTTTTAATTTTTTTATGGATTGTGATTTAAATGTTTTGACCTTTCGACTCCGTACTTCGAGCCTTGATCAGAAAACAAAATAATTAATCCAAAATTATTAATTCAACAATTATCAATTATTATTATTAATAATTAATGATTAATCCAATAATTATTACAATACAGATTAGAAGACAAACTTGAATTACTTCATATGAACTTTATTTCACTACAAATTTGTTTCATTTGACAAGGCGAGTCTTGCCACACTCATCAGGTGAATTTAAATAAAAATTAAAATAATAATAATAATATAAATATTATAATTATTATTATAATTATATTAATAATAAAAAAAAATAATAATATAATAATAATCATAATAAGAATAATAATTATATTATTATTTTTAATATTATTATTTTTTTTTATTATTAATATAATTATAATAATAATTATAATATTTATATTATTATTATTATTATTAAAAAAAAATTACCTTACAAATTGTGAATTACCTTATATAAGTGAGATTTACAATTGTATGTAACTTAAAAAAAATCATTAATAAAGTTTCCATTATTATTATTATTTATTATTATTATAATAATAATAATATTAATTTTGATTCATTTAAATTCACCTGATGAGTGTGGCAAGACTCGTCTTGTCATACGAAACAAATTTGTAGTGAAATAAAGTTCATATTAAGTAATTCAAGTTTGTCTTCTAATCTAATCTAATCTTATCAGCTCTACTACGGTATTGAGTACTCTACTCATATATGATTCCAAACTCGATACTTGTTTATATATATATATATATATATATAT